GGTGGCCTGATGATGTCAATTGAGCCACAAATAACAAATTTTTCTTCATTCCTGGGACATGATAAACATCTTGAAGTGGCACCTGGTTAGAATTATATCGAGGCTTAACTATTGTCTTACCGATGTGAGCTATCGGTAACCTTGAGTTGTCGGCTGTCACCACCACACGACCTCCCTTGTATTCAGATAGATTTTGCAGCTTCTGTTTATCACCCATCATATGATTTGAGCAGCCCGAATCTACGATCCAATCATTTTTGTAGTCAATGCGTTCTGGTGCTGTTACCGTGAGGGCTAATTCTTCTTCTTCCTCCGTAGCGAATAATGCTTCAGCATCCCAGCCATCTTCACTATTCTCCTTCGAACTGGAAGTAGTAGTATTACTTTCAACAGGCTCTTTCTTGGTCCAACAATCTTTCGCCATGTGGCCCATCTTCCCGCAGTTGTAACACTTGCCACTAAACTTTTTACTATTACCGCGATTCTTCCAAGCTCCCCCTGGACGAGAGCCTCAATTTCCTTGGTGACTTTGCACCTTTTCTCCATCCTTTTTAGATCCACTACCAGTGTACCGCTTCAAGGTGCCTTTGCTTTTGTTGGTGTAGAGCGCTTCCTCTTCACTCTTCAGTGAGACTCCTCCCATTTGCTTGGCCATAGCTTCTTGACCTGCAAGCAAATTTTCAAACTCAACAAGCGATGGTTGTGTCGGCCATCCTTGTATAGGGGCAATGAACCCTCGATATTCGGGTCTCAAACCATGGATAATTATTCTCTTCATCCTGGTTTCCCCAATAGGAGTTGTTGGATCTAATTCTGAAATTTCGCGGCATATCGACTTCACCTTGTGAAAGTACTGGGCAATCGTCATGTCGCGTTGTACCATCGATAGCAGCTCATTCTCGAGAAGTTGCAATTTTGTATCGTTCCTCTTCAAAAAGAGTGTAACAAAAGTGTCCCATGCTTCCTTTGGCGTTTTAGCATCCCGAATGTGCTCCAACATTTCTTCTTCTATTGTGGTCTTTAAAGCAAACATTGATTTGCCTGCTTTAATTTTCCACTTCCGCAAGACGCCGTTAGCATCTTCCGCTGCTGGTTGTGTAGCTTCACTACCACCGACAACCTCCCACAAGTCTTGACCTTGAAGGTAAGACTCCATACACGTTGCCCACGTGTTATAGTTTTGGTTGTTGAGCTTCTTGATTCCTCCAACAACTTGAAGATCACCCATCGTATCGGCAAGACTTTGACTACACCGAACAAGCTTGAGTGACTACCGTGCAGAGTAATACACTACTCTCGACACAAAGAAGCTCCCTCTCAAGGTTTGTGATAACCCCAGCAATAATCTCAAGAAATCTTTTCTGATGTGGAAGATCAGTCAAAACTGCAACCACAGAGCATACTCGAAATTTCAAGAGACTTTACAACCAATGCTCTACCAAGAACGATCCCTGACCGACTTGGCTCTGATACCAATTGTTGAATAAGAAGAGTATCCAAGATAACTCTAATGATCCTAAGAAGAAGAAAATAGAGCACACTCTTAAAGAAAGCTCACAAAACAAACTAATTAGCAAAGCTTTTCTTATTTAGCTCTAGACTTTGTTTTTCCTTGGATGATATACAATGCTTGGGGACTTGGGTATTTATAGCAAACCAAATGAAAGCTACACCACACACTTAATTAAACTAAGATTATTTAGTACCACACAAAACCCATTAGTTGCATCTAATTTTTTCCACTCAACCATACCTAACATTGCAATTGTAAGCAATTACATCATCAAACTAGATATGGACTTGGACTTTAGATTGGGTTGTGAATTACTTATGGTTTTGGGCTTGACATTGATTCTCAACAAAACACAACTATGGTCAATTTTTATTTTCTCTCAAGTCTAATTTCTGAAAGGTGAAAACACATAAAATCTCATGTTTATGCTGTTAACCCTACACAAACTTAATTTCTAGCCTTGCATCTATGAATAGAATAAGTACAATCTTCCTAGCATCTGTCATTAGCAACATGGTCGATTACAATTGATCAATAATATTTCAGATCTGCAAAGTTTAAATATGGTTCTAGTTATACAATGGAGTAGAAGAATAGCTCTAAGCTCATATTGTTAAACACATTTGAACTTCATCCAAGAATGAAAATCGCTAATACATGAAATCATGAATATATGTTTTATTCGTATATATGTATGTGTGCATGTAGCACATATACTTACATGCACAGTTCGCATTTGATTCAAATCCGCAAGAGCCTTTTGCCTCGACTGCCAAGGAAGAAAAAAAATTAGTCAATGATTGAAAGAGAGAGGGACTTTCATAAAGATCCATTTTAAAGCAGCATTAAGGCTTAGCCAATTAAATTCGTAAGATGGAAGAATAATGCACAGAAAAATCTTGATTCTAATTTAAGGAAGCTTCCACCCTCCTATGCAGTCCCTGCAAAACTGAAGTCACGCACAGGTGTCTACCTACCTACTACTGTTTGCCGCAACAAATTCGGTGAAAATTGAAATAGAAACCCAGAGTGTAATCAAATAAGTGTCAAGAGAAGCAATATCTTCTCTGATCATTGAGAAAAAGGTCACTGACAAAAAACACAGCCAGGCTACTTACATAACTGAATTTGTTAAAAATAGAAACTAAGCTGGATTGGCTTAGACTAGACTAAACTGGACTGGCTTAATGAAGCGTTTGGTGTAGCGTTGGACTAAGAAGCTAGACTAACAATAAATTATTATTATTATAATATTTTAATTTATTTTTTATTAAAAATATCAAAATGAATATATGAAAAAATAAAAGGGCATAGCCCTCTTCTTCTTCACAAATTGCAGGTGCTTTTGCAACTTGGAGAATTATCAAACTTTCATCGACTCAAATTGATAGTAAATAGAACCAAATTTGCAGTTTAGAAGATGAACGAGCCTTGTATAAAATTTCTTGAACATTGGTTTCACCCTCACCCTCATCGACAGTTCCACTCAATTCGTTGGATTTTTGTAAGACTACCATAAGCCTTAATGTAAAAGGTATTGATTAACTAGAAAAGATCATATACCAGCAGAAATTAATGAGTTAATAACAAAACATATCACAATTTACATATAACAACTTTGTATTTCAATTCATAAAAGGAAAAATAGCAGATAAATTGAAAACAAATGGGTAGCAATCAAAACCCAGAAACCAATCAAATATGAGAAATCAATTAAACAAATCGATCAAAAACAAAAATCTATCAAAACCCATTAATAATTTGACGAATCTTCAAAACAAAACTGAAGAAAAGTAAGAAGAGAAAGTGGCAGAGGAAGTTGTGATTTACGAGGACGCGACGGTGGTCCTGGGATGGTCCAGCGAGGTTGTCAAGCAGGATGAGGAGTCGAGCAGAGCGAGGAGTCGAGTGGGACAACGCAAGAGAAAAGAAGTGTCTTAGCAATCCGGTGGTGGTTGGGGGGGTCTTGCTAAGACTATCTAGCGAGCCCCATAGTCGAGGCGAGTGAGGTTTAATCCCACTAAAGTTAGTCCCTTCCTCTAACAAACATGGGACTACAGTAACACCTAATCTAGTCTCCAGTCCCACTTAATGAAGGCAAACAAACGTTCCTTAAGAGCTCAACAACATGTCTCATACTTGAATTTATAAAAAAATTTAAGAAAAATTAATAAAGTAGTCCAACTTTATTAATTTTTCTCAGTTCAGGTCTAGATGACAAAAATATTGTAAATTAAGGTACAAACATAATTATTTCCATGAATTTGAGCAGTAATAGAAAGTATATACTACTACAGGCACTTGCAAGGATTAGAAAGGTCCACTCGCATGGCCTTCAACATTCCTTCTTTTTGTTGCCACAGTAGAGGCATTTCTTGAAGAAACATGGGTACGTAGCATCAAATCTTGGAGTTGCGACAGGAGAGACTGCACACCGTCTTCGTGTGTGACATACGTTTACATGCCTCAACGCACATGCTTGACGTCTATGTTGGATATTATATGCGTCACCGGTTGTGTCTTGGCCCGTTCGTTAGTGCGGAAATGAGATTCAAACTACAACCTCACCAAAATACAAACCCACGGTTGAATAATTTAAAATACAAGAAATAAAGACACCGAGAGAATTACGAGGTTCGGAAAAAACCTGTCTATGTCCCCAGAGAGATATTGCTCTTTATTATGAGAATAACAGTACAAGTTACACATGAGTTAAATCGACATAATCCAATTCTAATCCCAAACCCGTGTACACCTACTCGCATAATTTTTCCAAGAGCCTCAGTTCTTTCACTAGAATACTTTTCACTCTAGCTCCCTTGATTTTCTCTCAACCCATGGTCAACCTTTCCAAAGGGAGAGTCGGATACTCTCCGCCTTGGATGCTTCTATGATGCTTAACTTCCCACTTTCGAAGACCAAAAAGTCTGAAGTTCACGTAACATAATCAACACCTGGCCTACCTAGCATGCACCCCTTTCTATCCCTAGCCTACAGAGTACAACTTTTTCTCCATTTGCCATTTAATGCATAGAAAATAAAACATGCACAATTTCATGCAAGCAAACACAAAGTCACGGTTGCTGCAATTTCCTTGTAGCATTCACATGGTCTCAATTGTGGTCATATTGAAGACTAATAATATTCAAAAATTCCAAGCGTCAACTCCACGTTTGACGGGAAGACTTGACGGGGTCAGTCAACACTGGCACCATACAGCTCTTTGATTGAGCTGAAAATCCTTTCAGAAATTCCAAGCGTAAAGAAAGGATTAGAAAATCTGCACCTCCAAAGTTGTTACTAGCTCCACACACCTTTATTCCCAGCCCATCAAATTTCCTCAAGCATTAATATACTTTTTTGATATGATTTTCTAATAATTTAGACAAAACATTTTCCAAACATGGATTGTACACATGTTTAATGACTTTGAAACAAAAAATGACCACATTTTAATTAGCAAAATATATTTCAAGTAAAAATAGGATAGAATTGGCCAGTATCCTGAGCATCATCAACAAAGGTTAGGACAGAACAATACAAAACGAAACATGAATTACCAAGAATTCCACCAACTCACATAAAAGTGTTAATAAAAGTTAACTTTCAATGGTGTATCTGAAACTAAAACTAATCATGTTTTCACTTTGCACCACTCAATTCAACATAATTAATTAATATACTTCCAGACATTACAGGACTAGTGACCCAGCACCGAGCCCTACACCGGACCATGAAAATTAAATTCAAACGACCATATTTTAGTTTATTCAGAGTCTCGTATCCTGTGTAGCACCCAAACATAACATTGCATTAATGTTATCCAACATGATCCAAAGCAATCTAACCCTCCCTCCTAATCCAATCCGAGTTACCAAACATGGCCTGAGGAAATAATTTAAGAGGATTTCAGACGCTAGACACACTAACCCATGCACACACGCGTAACTCGCGCATGAAACCAATTACCAAAAAAGTTAATATTCCCCACAATTTATCACATTAAATTCCCTTGCATACCAAAAGCAGTGGAAGTTATCGAATCAGTACACGAAAATTAATGAAAAATAAAGGTTAGAGAAGGAGAAGAAAAACATAATACTCTAATTATGACAAGCACATAATGAAGGGGTATTCTTACCATGGAAACAACCAGAAAGCCAATAAACGTATCAAAAGAGAAATGCATTAAGTAAAAGTGTAAAACCACAAAATACCATTTTGGATGCTAAGAGAAAATACAAACCAGTTCATGTTTTCAGACTCAGCACTGTTGTTTAAAATCCATTTCTCCACAGTGCTACAGTCGACAGGACGATGAGCTTCCTCTGTACACTGCACAGCCAGAACAAAATATGACTCACCTATATAGATAAGTTTTCGCTGAGATATTAAATACCAAAAGTTACAAAAGGAAACTTACATTCCAGCAAAATCCATAGGAGCAGAGGCAAGATACATCATAATTTTCATTGTCACCAACAAAATTAACAGCATATTCACAACCCGGATAAGGACACCACTTGGTCTAGCAGCAAAGAAAAAGAATTACAAATCATGGTGAGAAAAATGGAAAAATATGAAGGAAGAAAAATGATATTCATAAATTCCACTATACCACACGAGTAATAGAGAGGAACACATCATTGTTCCATCAAAAAGAAAATAAACCACTAATAAAAAAAATGATACTCATATATTCACTCTCACACGCCCACACAGGCACAGGAGTAATTGAAAAGAAAAGAAACCACCAATCATTTTTCAATATAGTAATTAAAATTGGGGATACGGTTCCTAATTCTTAACACTTTTTGACTAAAACCTTAATAGTATTCAAAGTTTGATCAAAGTTCCTTGAATTTGTACACCTCATTATATTACTATTGATATTTATATTTTTATAGTTTTGACATTAATTGTTTGATATTTTATGACATTTATAATCCTATAAATTTAAAATCCCTCATTATGATACTATTAAAAATGGCTACAATAAAAAAATTCAAACATTTTGATTGAATAAATGGATAAAAACTATGTAACAATAAGAAATAATAGTGTTAAAAAAAAATTGGTACATTTCTCATAGAACAAAGTGTTAAAAAAAAAACAGATGGCAAAAGAATGTAGCCATAGTGTTAAAAAAATTGGTACATTTCACATATAACAAAGTGGTAAATTAGTAAAGAAGAACGGGTACATTATAAATAAATTAGGGTACAAATAAAAGATTAAAAAATTATGAGTACAAATGAAATTTTAAAAAATATGGGCACAAAAAGAAATTAATACATGGGTACAAATTAAAACTAAAAATAAAATACTACAAATTTAAAAAAAGGTTGCAAATTAAAAGTGGGTACAAACTAAAAATATAAATATATGATACAAAGTTTAACCATAAACATAAATATACCATATGTAATTTTTCTATTTACAGAGTACAACTTTTTCTCCATTTGCCATTTAATGCATAGAAAATAAAACATGCACAATTGCATGCAAGCAAACACAAAATCACGGTTGCTGCAATTTCCTTGTAGCATTCACATGGTCTTCAATTGTGGTCATATTGAAGACTCATACTATTCAAAAATTCCAAGCGTCAACTCCACGCTTGACGGGGAAGACTAGACCAACCGGGTCAGTCAACACTGGCACCATACGGCTCTTGATTGAGCTGAAAATTCTTTCAGAAATTCCAAGCGTAAAGAAAGGATTAGAAACTCTGCACCTCCAAAGCTGTTTCTAGCTCCCATATTTATTTGCGACGCATACAAACTGGCGAAAAAACATATCATATTGCAACTCAAAACCATGACATTTCTTTATATGCTCCTGCTGCTGTCCGCATTGCCACTGATCAAACCGACATCAATATCGCCAAGACAACAAGCCAAATCACTCATCAAATGGAAGGATGGCTTTTCTTCACCATTATTATCATCGCCACCTTCGCTACTCAATTCATGGTCCCTCACCAACCTCAACAGCCTCTGCAACTGGACTGCCATTTCCTGCTCCAAAACCAGAACAGTCTCCAAAATAGACCTATACCATCTGAGATTGACCATGTAACAGTCTCCTATATGGAAATTGACGGATCACTGTCCCTTTTCGACTTTTCCTCATTTCCAAATCTCACCCACTTCAATCTAAGTGGCAACGATTTCTATGGGCCTATACCATCTGAGATTGACCATGTAACAGAGCTTCAGTATCTAAATCTCCGCATCAACGGTCTCTCCGGTACCATCCCTTACCAACTGAGCAATCTCAAAAAGGTACGGTACATGGACCTTGGATTAAACTATTTTAACAATACTGATCAAGATTGGTCAGAATTTGCAGGCATGCCCTCATTGACCTACCTTGCTATGTCTATGCAACGTGATAGTCTATATCATTCAGAATTCCCAGAATTTATATCTCAATGCCGGAACTTGACGTTCCTCGACTTGTCTCAAAATAAATTGAATGGCCAAATTCCACATTCGATAGGTCAACTCAGGGAGCTCCAGTACCTTGATCTTTCATACAACTCCTTAAACTCATCAATCCCTCTCACTATAGGCCAACTCAGGAAGCTCCAGTACCTTGATCTTTCATACAACTCCTTAAACTCATCAATTCCTCTCTCTATAGGCCAACTCAGGAAGCTCCAGTACCTTGATCTTTCATACAACTCCTTAAACTCATCAATCCCTCTCTCTATAGGCCAACTCAGGGAGCTCCAGTACCTTGATCTTTCATACAACTCCTTAAACTCATCAATTCCTCTCTCTATAGGCCAACTCAGGAAGCTCCAGTACCTTGATCTTTCATACAACTCCTTAAACTCATCAATCCCTCTCTCTATAGGCCAACTCAGGGAGCTCCAGTACCTTGATCTTTCATACAACTCCTTAAACTCATCAATTCCTCTCTCTATAGGCCAACTCAGGAAGCTCCAGTACCTTGATCTTTCATACAACTCCTTAAACTCATCAATCCCTCTCTCTATAGGCCAACTCAGGGAGCTCCAGTACCTTGATCTTTCATACAACTCCTTAAACTCTTCTATCCCTTCTGAGCTCGGTCTTTGTACAAACCTCACCCACTTGTTCCTAGCTTCCAATCAACTCAACGGGGAACTGCCTCTGTCCTTGTCCAATCTGAACAACCTCGTCAAATTGAGTTTAGCTAATAACCATATCTCTGGCACGATTCCACCTTGGATAGGCCAACTCAGGAAGCTCCAATACCTTGATCTTTCAAACAACTCCTTAAACTCATCAATCCCTCTCTCTATAGGCCAACTCAGGAAGCTCCAGTACCTTGATCTTTCATACAACTCCTTAAACTCATCAATCCCTCTCTCTATAGGCCAACTCAGGAAGCTCCAGTACCTTGATCTTTCATACAACTCCTTAAACTCATCAATCCCTCTCTCTATAGGCCAACTCAGGAAGCTCCAGTACCTTGATCTTTCATACAACTCCTTAAACTCATCAATCCCTCTCTCTATAGGCCAACTCAGGGAGCTCCAGTACCTTGATCTTTCATACAACTCCTTAAACTCTTCTATCCCTTCTGAGCTCGGTCTTTGTACAAACCTCACCCACTTGTTCCTAGCTTCCAATCAACTCAACGGGGAACTGCCTCTGTCCTTGTCCAATCTGAACAACCTCGTCAAATTGAGTTTAGCTAATAACCATATCTCTGGCATGATTCCACCTTGGATAGGCCAACTCAGGAAGCTCCAATGCCTCAATCTTTCATACAACTCCTTAAACTCTTCTATCCCTTCTGAGCTTGGTCTTTGTACAAACCTCACCCACTTGTCCTTGTCTTCCAATAAACTCAATGGGGAACTGCCTCTGTCCTTGTCCAATCTGAACAACCTGGTTGAATTGGGTTTAGATAATAATCTATTTACTGGTCAAATCCTTCCTTCCCTGGTCTCCAATTGGATTCATATGGAATCTTTGCAACTTCAGTCCAATGAACTCAGTGGGAAGATTCCGACGGAAGTTAGAAATATGAGCTTTCTGTTGACGCTCAATCTAAGAAGGAACCACTTGACAGGAGTGATCCCTCAGATTCTAAGCAATTTAGCTCCGCTTAAGCTGCTCGATTTGTCACACAACCATCTTTCGGGGCAAATCCCATCATTTGTCAACATGTTTTTTCTTCGTGATATTAATTTTTCTTATAACAACTTCACTGGCCGAATCCCATGCGTTTTCCAATGGGCACCAGCAAATGCTTTTGTTGGAAACTCTGGGTTGCATGGGTATGTACACCCGTGTGTAGACAGAATACCCCCTCGGCCCAACGTACCCCCTCGGCCCAACATAAATTTCAAAAAGGATAACAGAAGAGTTCTAATTGGTATCCTTGTGCCTGTTTGTGGTTTATTAATGGTTACAACTGTCATTGGTCTTATGTTCCGTAAAAATTCCAGTCTCGTTTTGAACAAAGTCAACACTTCTGAATACTTTGAGAGTTTGGAGTCAATGATATTGCAAGAGGAAGTGAAGTTTACGTTTGCGGAAGTTGTGAAGGCTGTAGATGACTTTCATGAGAGGTACTGCATTGGGGCAGGAGGGTTTGGAAGGGTTTACAAGGCAGAGTTGCAATCAGGCCAAGTTGTTGCAGTTAAAAGGCTTAACATTGCAGACTCTAATGATATTCCATCAATCAATCTCCATAGCTTTCAGAATGAAATCCGAACTTTGACAAGCATCCGGCATCGGAACATCATAAGGCTCTATGGCTTCTGTTCAAGAAGGGCTTGCATATTCCTACTTTATGAATACTTAGAGAGAGGAAGTCTGGGAAAAGCTTTGTATGGAGTTGAAGGTGTTAATGAACTCATTTGGGCAACTAGAGTCAAAATTGTGCAAGGACTTGCTCATGCACTTTCTTACTTGCATCATGATTGCTCTCCACCAATTGTGCACCGTGACATAACCGTCAACAATGTATTGCTTGAGTCTGATTTCGAGGTTCGTCTCTCAGATTTCGGAATAGCCAGGTTATTGAGTACTGATTCATCCAACTGGACAGATATTGCTGGTTCATTTGGCTACATAGCACCAGGTAATGTAAACTTAATTTGTACATTTATGGTTCATCTTTTTGCTTATTGGGATATGTTTTAAGGTAGCCAATTTTGTTTTTATTGATGTGCAGAGCTTGCATACACTATGCGAGTCACGGATAAATGTGATGTATATAGCTTTGGAGTGGTGACGCTCGAAGTCATGATGGGAAGGCACCCAGGAGATATGCTAGAGTCCCAGCTACAAGAATCATCAAAATCAAGGAGGGACAATGTAGAATTGCTCCTGAAAGATTTGTTAGACCAAAGGTTGGAACCGCCAACCAATGAATCTGCAAAGGCAGTGGTGCTTGTAGTGATAATGGCATTGGCCTGTATACGAACGCGTCCTGCGTCCAGACCCACGATGTTATTTGTGGCACAAAAACTCTCAGCTCAAACCATGCCTTGTCTTCCCGAACCATTTGGTATGTTGACAATCAACAAGCTAATGGCACTATAAAAAATAAAATTAAAAAAAAAAAAAAAAAGACAAGGGCGAATAGTTCAAACTTCCCTTTTGTATTCCTGCCACACGCAATTCCATCTAATTTCTCGTGTAATACATCTTCAGTACTGTAATTACTCATTTGTATTATTTGTCGAATGTGGATTTATGTGTGATGAATTTTCTTAATCTTAATTGCATTAAACCGATAATCCATGTCCTTCCTCTAGTTCAAAGAGCTACCCTAAAAAATTGAACCTACATGGATCATTTTCGCCATGGATTATTTTGAAAGCAAACACATATGGAACTACAGGATGCAATCTGACCTTGCATCTTTGAACCATGTCGCGCGTCGAAGTACATTTGATCTTCCAGGCATTCTTAAACTTTTCCGCTATGTCGAATATAGGTTTGTGCCTTTCCTCTCTAAATCTGCAACAACCAGAACTGCCTTCACGTTCACAATACAGCACAATAGAAGACACTTTAACACGACAATCTGTTAAATTAGCAAATGGTAAACAAGCGTGGCTGCTTTGCCTCAATCCAACACTGACCAGGACATCAAATCTATAGCTTCTGTGCGTTGAACCAAATCCCATCAGGAGTTGTTCTCATAATCCTTGAATTATAATTGTAACTCTTTTAGTTTAATCGTTGTCCTACACGGATCCATCAAACCAAAGGCACATGTGGATTGGAGACATGGGGAGACAGTATGGTATCTGCTTATTGGTTGGCTGGCTTCAAACGATTTTTGAGCTGAAATTTTCTTGCAAAACTAATGAACAAGAAAAGAGAATGCAGCAATAGGGATTACAGTGAAATGTAAACAACCTACAAATAAGTTGACTGTGCAGAAGTTGCTGAAAGAGCGAAAATAACTGGATGAGATGTGACCCTTATCGCATTGGACTTCTATTGTCAGGTGATACTTTCAGGCCACGCTGTGCCTTAAACCGACTGTATATGATTGTTAAAAGACTGACCAAGACTGTTATAAGCATCCAGATTTTCACTTTGTGGTTCATTCATCTACACAATGAGAAACGCTCTACAATCAAACTAACAAAGAGACGCATGCAGTGAGAAATCATCTTCGTTGAATTCTGAATCAACATGCTTGTGTCCATCAAACTCAGCAAGGCCCGTGAATGTCTCAATGAGAACTTCTTTTGCTGCAATATCTTCATCTATGCGATCGTTAACCATACCAACTGGTTCATTGACATGTACTTTTCCATTTCGGGTTCTACAGCATAATATTTGGTATCTAAAGGTACATTTTTCTCACAAATTTAGGTTGCCTTGCTCAACCTTGAAGGCAAAGTATTAGTCCGCGGGACACCCTTGTATTTTTGCTTCAATTTCATAATCTTCGATGCTGCTGATCCTGAGCTGAAAACTAGTCTTACCCCCTGCCCTTCTTCGGCATCCATGTTCCTATCATGGTGTTCTAACGGAATTGAATCTGATGGAGTTTCAGACGCTGTTATACTTATGCCCTTCCGGGGTGACATGGAAAAGTAATTGCAGTTTGCTTCTGAATTCCAATCAGTTTTCTGCTCAAATGGCCAGAAAAGCGGTTCATCAATAAGTTAGATCTTCCAAATCTTCAGCTTCAGAAGCATGTCCTGATGCAAAATCACACCAGAATTAGATGACTGAAAGTCATGACCCCGGCAACTACTTTTGTAAGATGGGCTGGGAAAATCAGACAGAAACCAATCTGACTTTGAATATGTACCCGGTGTCAATTTGTCATCAGGTGCAGCAGGTTGTTGTGCATGATCTTGATTAGGGTACTCACCACGCATCATCTCTCCTCCAATACGATCAAATATATTCACAATCAAGTCCTCATAATCATCTCATTCATCTGTTGTTCTTAGCCCCATCTTGATCTCATCTGCAACAGAGGCCGCGGCAGCGGCGGCAGGATCAGGCAGGAGATCAAACTCTCCAATCAAGGCCTCCAAATCAAATCTCAAAGATCATCATCATCTTTTTTCTCACTACCTCTCTATCTGAATCTGCAGTGCAGACGCCTAACAAATTGCAAAACCACAATCAACACTTTGAAGAACTCTTCAAAATGAGGTAATTTTAATACCCTCGACCACTTCATATTGAAAAGCGCATACATATACAACATGAAACAACAAATATGGCACAATTTGAAGCATGAATAGGCAAGCATGCCTTGCCCGCAGATAATATAGAATAGGAAACAAGAGTATAAAGCATAGAAGGAAGCCTTGTTCAATTCGACAAATCTAAAATCACGACCTATGAGTGCAATGTTCCCCATCATCGTGTTTCTCTTAATACCTGACGTGGAAACCAGGAAATTGATGACCCTTTACAAATTTTGAATATTGAGATAATTTATATTACTTGTTCATCTTAGTGTGTCTCTATGAATGCCAAATGATAGCAAACATAAAAATAATACCAGACACATCAGAAATGCAATTGAAGGCATTTCTTTCAAATGATCAAAATGACGACTGTCATGCTCTCACGAATGTGACATACATAATATCAGACGCATCAACAGCTACTGAAACTGAAAACCTAAGAGACAGTAGCTTCAAAAACTAGTCCTACACGGTGAAGAAATCTACACCAAAAGAACTGCAAGTACACAGGGAACAGCATGTGAGCTCCGCATCCTACCTCGTACTTAAAGAGATGCAATTTGTAAAGAAAGAATAAAGTGCTTCAATTTTTTAGAATCACGACCATCCTGTTGAGCAGAGAAATTAAAGAACTCATAGGGAATAGACGAGAAAACGAAGTGCCAGTTGTCGACTACTTGATGCCCTCCCCCTCTTCCTTTATCCGGGCTTGGGACCGGCAGTGTAAGATAAACTTACACAGGTGGAGTTAGAGAATTAAAGAACTGTAAAAAGAGAATCAGTTATGGACAAGATGTCAAGACCAATAGAATTGTAAAACACAACTGAGGACAACAGCGAGAAACTTGCATTGCTGGTCCAAAACAGAACGTGACACATCTAATATAGACTAAGGTATGAATACTAAAAATTAAAGAGAGAAAACTTACATTCCACAAAAAATCCATAAAAACAGTGGCAAGAAACATGATAATTGTCCTTATCGTCAACAAAACTATCAACACGTTCACAAACTGAAAACTTAACACACCATGTTACCATCAAAATTCAAGCACAATACACAGAACATGCTTATGCTCACAAGCCACACATGCAGAGGGAGTAATTCAAAGGAAAAGAAAACATTAATTTGATTTTCTAATTTAGTATAGTAATTGAAATCATCAACCTTGAAATTGGAAACCTTTTGTCAATAAAAATAAAAAGAGAGTAAGAAACTTGGGTGGAAAGAAATGTATTATAAAGCATTCAGTGCATTAAAATTGGAAACGATCCTAGAAGCACATACATACACATGACTGAGGGAAACGCAGTAGACCTGAGGTGCAGCAAAATGAAAGGCAGGCAATGGATCAGTATGGCGGAGAAGAAGGCCCAGGTAAACACCTATACCAAATTTCTTAATTAACTAATGAACCAAAAGAAATCAAAGCATATATACTAAGAACGGAAATAAAATCTATCCTGATCATAACTGTGCTTCTATATGCACGCGTGGAAATAGACAGCAGCCGTCACCTCTACGTCCCTCTATTGATCATTCACAGAATCGCTCATCCACAAACAGTCTGTCCAGTAATTGAACCCATCTAACGGTTGGCTGAATTCGTCAATTTGAGGCCACTCCTGGGGCAATTTACCTTCAAGCGTTGTCAACCATTCTTTAATGTCTCCACGCACTGCTTCACCATCTAAAGGATATTCCTCGCCGCCCAAGAATATCAGAGAAGAAGGAACATCACTCATCAGTGGCACATATTCATGATCTGAAATATGAGTGGGAATGGGCATCACCTTTCCCTTAATGTAGATTATGCACCCCTGGTCGTGATTGCTAGTGTCGCTTTCCAAGAAAATGGGGTAAGAAGGAAAATCACTCATCAATTTCACACTATCCTGATCAGAGAAATCAGTCGGCTTCGCATTGCCGTTAATGTCAGTAATCATATTGCTTTCATTGAAGTCGTGAGTTGGATTTGAGGAATTCATCTTGCTTCCACACCTAGACCTCGGATTCCCTTTAAGTCGGGAAAGAACGACCTTTGGGCCAGCTACTACATTAGGAAGAAGACTGTACTCTTCTAACAGCCAGCCGCCGTTGTTGTTAGAACCCTTGTTGTTATACCTGAAATGCCCTTTATCCCCGATTGGAATTCCGTCCAAACCTAAAACTTTATCGGAGGATGTTTCGCTCCAAGTGCCTCCGGCTTCGATCTGGCGTTTGCTGCGGCTGTCGCTGTCGCTTCTAGAACGCAGCTCATAGAAGAAGAACAAGTCCTGATCGAGTAGGGAATTTCCACCGAATTGCTCCCAAACCACCCAGGGTGGTGTTTGTCCAAAGAGATTGAACTCGTGAACAAACGGGTTGCCCAAGGGCTTTCCGGAGAGGGCTCTATCGCGAAGATAGGAACTGACCAATTCTTGATCAGTAGGATGAAACCGAAAACCCAATGGCATACCGTAATAACCCTCCTCCATCGTTAAACGCGATTTCAATTCAATGCAATAAAGAAGAGAAAATAAGCGAGAAATTAAAGAGAAGAAAAAGGGAAACCTGAAAGCCGATTTGGCTCGCTCGCCGAGGAGAGCGGCTCGTCGACGTCTCCTCAATCGTCGTCTTCGTCCCCAAACAAGAGCAACTGAAGAGGAATCGATTTCGAGTATTCTGTAATTCAAATCAACCGGAGACTGATGGAGCACTGAATTCGAATTCTGGTTCAAATTCGAACGCACAGAGAGAGAGAGAGAGTGGATTTGAAATTTAAATGTAAGAAAATATGACCGTTTGGTTTGGGAATTTAACGTTGCAAACTTGCAAGGCTCACCGCTTAAGCGCGGGTTTTAATCACGTGGCATTTTCATATCTACGAAACCCTAAAATTGTATTGGGCTGGGTTCCCTTTTTTACTTCTTCGCCCATTTTTTATTCTGCTGGGTCCA